TCCCTCCCCCTCCAAAAAAAAAAAAAAAGATTCTAGTGTTCATCTATAAAATAATTGTAATATTTGTAAATTACCTATAATAATCACCCATATCTTTTTTATTTATTTTTTCTCATACTTGAGTGTCTTTGCATAACATATTACTATTACTCTTCTTCTTCTTTTTCCAAACTAAACCCTTACAACCGCATATAATTTTCTATTTGACTATATTTAATCATATTAAAAAATCTAAATTTATCTATTTTCATTTTTTTTTACTATTTGAACATAAATACTGTGTGTTTATATGTGTGTGTTGATTTGAACAGTGAAAACAACACCCTAGCATAACAAGTATTTTAGTAATCTCATTGTTGGTTGGTACAACGTGATGGGCACGTCTAAACCAACACAAAAGCAATCCTATATTGATGCTTAGATTTCTTAAAATACGAATTTTTTTTGATATTGATGGATTAAATTTATTTTTAGAGCTAAATGTTTTAAAAGAAATTTTACAAATGAAAAAAAATTCTCCAATTGAGATACAATTTCTGTAACAATTGTTTGTTTCTGTGGAAATAAGTTTTTCAAAATTAAAATTGATAAAATTTTACTTAAGATCGACTATGTCACAAGAAAGATTAATTGGATTAACGATACTATTAATTAAAAAAGATATGACAGCAAAACTTGAATATAAAAACTTAATTAATAATTTTGCAATCAAAAAACAAGAAAAATTAATTTTAAATAAAAAATATTAATACCAAAACATAGAATGCCTCATAAGTCCCAAATTATATTGACCCACCCCTGATCTCTTTCTTCCTGTCGAGCACGACAACAAAAATTTAGACGCGAAAAGGAGAAGGGCCAATGGTGGCATTTGAAAAAGTCAGGCCCATCAGTTGTCTTCATTCGAGCAATGAATTTAGAAATAAGAATAATATTGTGGCCACCACCTCTTTTACAACCTATGATGTGACATTATAAAAAATTATTATATATTTAATAAATTTTGTGGGATCTATTAATTTAATGGTCTATAATTTATTTTTAAAAATAATATCTTTTTTTTTAGAAGAAAGGTACTTGAACTCTTTTGAACTTAAAAAGACAAAATTTTCACAAGATAAAGAGTATCATTGGACCAAAAGTCCATTGGTATAACAATATTGAAGTGGTGCACAAAGGAGGTATATGAAGGTGATATGTGTGTAGTATTTGTTATATATACAAACCACACCGTTCATTTAAAAAAAAATGCAAAAAAATATGAACTAATTCCATTTGTTCTGCTCATGGCGGCAGCTAAATCAGTTAGGGTAAATGCATTAAATATTCCAAGCAAAAAAAAAATGCATTAAATATATAGTTAGATATTGTAATTTTGTGTGTGTATGTGTTGAGGCTAAATTTTTGTTAGATCTGGGTTAATTTAAGCGTAATTCGATTAATGTTCTCTCCTGTTCAGTTAAAATAGGTCATTCATGTCGACACTAAAATATTTATGACAGATAAATCCCTCATGATCTACTCTCAACGAGTTATCAATATTTAAACTCAATACGTACGTAGACTATTTCATTAAAAGTTTACATTGAGAGTCTATGTCATGAAAATATCCTCTGGACATATAGAGATAAGACTATTTATATCCGACAATCCAAAGTGTAATGTGAAATTGATGGAGAACTATCCTTTTAATGTTTTTTCATGGGTTTTTATTTGCTATTTTTTTCTATTTCATCATTTGTCTAAAATGGCATATCACCTTACAAGGGCATACTTATCCCGAGTGATAGTGCACTTAAGTTAACAAAATTTTAGTAATTAATATCTCGAGATATCAAAATTGAATCTCACAAATTATGAGAGATTTTTTTTTTTTACAAGTGATCGTGTGAATTATTAACGATCACAAATATAAAAAAAGAAAAATTAAAAAATTATTGTCGTTAATTGCAAAGAATAGTATAAAAGTAATGTTGGTGAGTCACATCCATCTTTGATTTCAACACAATGATATTGAGAGTTGAGAGTCTCCATGGCTTTGTTGCTTTCCCCAAATCTCCAATCACATTGGTGTTGCCGGCTTCCTTCACAACAGCTACAAGTAATAGACAATTAAATGGGACACAGACTTGCAAATGCCGTTCCTAGTTGATGTAGACCCCATGCCTGTAGGCCATGACTTTTAGCTACTTGTACTTTTCTCACTGTCTCCCACTTTCTTCTTTTTTCAACGGAATTACGTGTTCGAATTAGTTTATATATATTTTAATTAATTTTTTTTTTTGATTCGATTAAAGATGTGTCATCTGCGTCGAAATTAAAATATTCATGAATAATGTTTGATCTCAAAAAATTGTCAAAATTTAAACTCAAAACATCTGAATTTATAATTTGTCTATATTATTTTTTAAACTAACCACAATCTAAAGAATGAATAACAATGTGATATCGAACAAAATTTAATATCGTATTAAAAGTTATTACTTTTAAATATAAAATTACATTTGATTTTGACTATTCGTGATCATAATAATAACTCAAATTAGTTGTTATTTTGTCGGTGAAAGTTACAATTGCCTTGATCAATCGTAATATTTTGGAATCAATCATGTCATTTTCAATTACAATTATACAAATAAAATAATACTTCAAATCACCCTAAATTTGATCGTTGAAGGCCTACTCGCTATTTGTTTATAAAGCACAATGAGTTTTGATAATTTTCGTTCATTTGTCCCGTGACAAACAAAATATGGCTTTATACCTAATCGTATAAAAAATTATTATTTTTAGAGATCAAGTTATATATTTTAAGTGTAAAGTTACAATTGATTTGAACTATTCGTGATCATTATGAATAACTCAAATTCGATGTTACTTTACGTTAAAAGTTACAATGGTCATGATCAATCATAATATTTTAAAATCGATAATATCTTATTTCAATGATAACTATACAATTAAAATGGTACTACAAATTTTCTATTAAAGAAGACTTGATTAAAGTGATTGTGGATCATAAAAACAATTGACATTTGTGTGTAGGGTCAAAATTCAATGAACTTTTGTTCCCATCATAACATGGTGCACCACCTTTACCAACATACCATGTGACCATTTTTTTCTCTTTTCCAAGGTGGCCAACAAAAGGCCCAGTGAATTAATGCATGCATGTATGCTCTTGGATTTTTTTTATTAGAAATATTATTTGGATTTAAAATATTAATATAATATATTAATTTTATCAATCATAATCACTAAATAAATAGTCGGTGTCAACATTTTAAATTTAAATAGCATTACTCTTTTTTATATTTACCAAATTTTACATTGAACGTGATGTGATGTGACGCAATCTCTATCATTAAAGAACAATGATATTATGACCTAATTTACTGATATTTGAATTGACTGTAAGTAAGAATGTCAATCGTGTTGTATCGTGTCATTTTTATGTTATGTCACATTTGATCATATTATTTTCGTGTCGTGCGCTACTTTTGGTACATATAGGTTCGTGTCAATATTCATATTTTATAAAAAATTATTTAATTCGACAACAACTCATATGATACTACTTAAAAAAAATTATAAAATTCTTATTTCTGTCCACTATACTTCTTAAAAAATTATTTTATATCTAATGTACTCATTAATAGTATGATTTGTGTCAAACCTTAATTTGACCTATTTATTTATGTCGGGTCGGATTGTGTCGGGTTCGTGTTAACGGATAAAATTGGCCCCTCAACTATAAGCTCCGTCAAATATTGAAATTTGGTGTTGATTCAATAATTTCTACAAACTACATCATTATGTCAATAAATTAAATTAAATTTTTAGGTATAAATAGAATTATTCGTCAATAAATATTAATAACACTTACTTTTTATGGTAAAAACTATACCACACTAGTTGAGACGAAAATTTTAATAAAAAAAAATTTTGGTCCCCATGACAATTTTAAAGTGGTTTTGCTTTTTCTTATTCTGCTTTGGCATGGAGGAATTGATGACAAAGTCATAGGAGGAGACCACAGGTCATGTGATTGTCCCCTTGAACTTTGACTTCATCATTCTATTATTTTAACAAAAAAAAAGTAGAAAAATATAGAGAAAAAGGAGACTTAAAAGGATGTTGAGATCTTAGTAGCCCATGATATATAATGATGTGTTTGATAAAGTTTTATTTATTGCATGATACTTCCATAAACTATACATTTTCTTAAAGTTTAATTAATATAACAATGGATAATTGAAATTCATAACAATAGATATAATTAAAATCAAGGTCACCCAAAAACACACATGCCCTAATGACTCTTCAAACTAAAACAAGTTCCAGACATAGTTAGGGGTTTTTATGATCCCATTAGTGAGAGTCTATCGGGTGGTCCCTTGACGTTTTTCCTTGTCTCCACCCTTTTTTTTACTAGAAAAAAAAAACACCCAAACCAAATCCCCTAATTTTGAAGAATCAAACATCACATACATAGAGATTTATGACAATAATCAAAAATTTTATTTCAGTGCACTTTTTGATCACTTAAGAAATAGAAACAATTTGACATTCTTTGAAATATTATGAAACACTTTGAAATAAAATTTTGATTTTATCACTGATTTATTTCGATCTCTTTAAAAATGAAAAACATTTTACTTATTTTGACCGTTCAAAATAAAATTTTAATCTTTGGTTAGCGATTAACCTAATGACCCTCAAAAGACTTTGTCGAAAAGTAAATTTATACAGAAAAAACTACGCATCTTAGATGGATTAGTATTCTTCTTTGTTTTAAGGTATTTTTCAAATTCTCACTTGGTATATATTTGGGTGAATTTTCTTTATTCATCTCAAAATTAGGTAAAATAAACTAAATTTTTTTAGCTTATGTGGGAAAAATTTTAAGGTAAATATACATTTTTATCCACCATAAAAATTAAAATAATGAATAATAAATAAATAGATAATCTTCCACATCCTCGTCAAGGCTTCCCTACCAACACAGATATAGAGAGAATCTATATCTAGCTAAAGCTGCCCATATAGAGAGAGAAAAGTAGTGAGAGAAACGAAATTCTGTGAGAGCACTGAGCACCCCCTCCCTCATCATCATGGCGTTCTTGTTGCAGAGCAGATCATGAAACCCTAGCTCTTACTCTATGCAAAAAAAAAACCGCAGCATTTCCTCCAAGAATCGACCGTCATTCTTATTTCTATTTCAAGAAAACAATTGGCTATCGAAGTGATCGATCGTTCGATCCAAATTTTTCATATACTTCGAGTAGTTTTCGAAGAAGTACTTTTTTAGTTTCTATTCGGCGGTCCGAATCAGTTCTTGTTGGTTTCGATTTGGATTGTGGCATTTGGTGTTGTGGTTTGGTTGAGATTCGGGGTGGCTGAGTTTGATAGAATGAGAGAGCTTTCGGAAGGTTATTAGTGGTGATTTTTTTCCCCGAAATTTGGATATGGATGATAGAGGTGGATCATTTGTGGCTGTACGGAGGATTCCGCAAGGTCTTGAGAGAGGCACCACGACCACCACCTGCCATTCAACTTCGGGTGATTAATCCCTTTCAACTTTCTTCGTTTACCTAACTTAGAGGCTAATTTGTGTCACCTCTCTCCCTCTTGCTCGCGCGATTTTCTCTCTAATTTATGTCAGGAGTAAATTGTAAAAGTTTGGATCCGTGAATTGGATTTAATTTTATTCTTCATGCCTACTTGCATTGACATTTGTGGCGAGTCCACTGTTTGTAGGTAATAATTTCCTCCTCAAATTTGGTTTTCTTAACCAATTCCTGCGAGTTACACACACTTAAGTCTGTATATTTGTGTCTGTATGCATAAATGCAAGAATAGATACCACAAAAGGTAAGGTTTGTGTTAAGAGCTTTTATCATTGACAGCATATAACTGTATACCCAACATAAGCAGTTAGGCTTAAACATAACTTCTTTTTCCTGTTTCATTTGTTTCTTAGGTGGGATATTTGAATGCTACAACTTTGAGACTCTCTGACATTACACGGAAATTAATTATACTGCGTTTTGGCTATAAGTTTGAAACTTCTGGTAATTAGGGTTCAGTCACTTTTAACAGACAAATAGAGGTGAAACCCAACGCCGCGCCCATGTGTAATGTATGAATTGATAGGGATAGGTTTTTTGATGCGCTTGTCTTCTTGCTGGATCTGTAGTAATTCCTTGTAAAAATTACGTTATATACTATGATGGTAAAGATGATTTCATCTTTATAAAGGGTTTTTATAATCAATTTACATTACTAAATTGTTTCCCGGTTCACAGTTGTTTATTCATGTCAAGAGGTTTTGTTTGAAAACATTTGACCTAATTTTCGTCTGAGTGGCTTGCTCTTGGATAGAGCTTGTGTAACATCAAAATTGTTTACACACCATAAACTAATTTTTTCAGTAACTATGCCCTATGTATTATTTATAATTTTTGGCATGTTTTTGACGAAGTGGTGTGGTAGTTTTTGATTTTTATTTTTTTAGGTATCCTTCTATATTTTAAGTACTTATATAATTCCATCTCCAAGTGGCCTTGCCATTCAACAGTAACTTCATCAAAGGAGAGGCACTCTTGCCTTGGCCATCAGGCTAATCACAGATTCTTTGGCCGATAATACATTTCTAATTTCTCAGCAGCAATATTAGTTTTGGTATAGTTGGTTATTGCTGATATTCATTTACTTTTTACTTCAGTTTGTGTTTCATAATAGTTTCTATATTCAGATGTCTTTGTTGTTTAGATCAAAATTATAGGAGCCTTACATAAGCCAACTGGGATTTGTGAGGATAACTATGCTTGAGGGTTGAACTTGAATATAGGTGCTCATAAGCTACTATCTCTTTTTTGTCATTGTACGGTGAAAGATATCTGGTTTGTTACTGGTTCGATTTTAATTTTTGTTTTAATTTTATCTTAAGTACTTCTGATGACATCGGGTTGACATAATAAATCCCTGTTTGAAGATTGAGGGATCCCTTTTCTACAGAAAATTGATTTTGTTTTGTTACAGCAGAGGTTGTGGCAGGATCAGCAGCATGGCTTGGCAGAGGCCTTTCATGTGTCTGTGTTCAAGGAAGAGAGAATGATGCTCGTCCATCATTTGATCTGACCCCAGCCCAGGTTATATGCTTGTAAAAGATTTATTTTGTTTTTTTTGTCGTGGTATCAAGTCTTGAAAACTATATTGTCGAGAATAAGGTCCTCGCCAAGGGCCATTAAGAAACCATATTCTTTCTGTCTCCTTCGTATCATTTTTTGGACATAGAAATGTCCATTTGATTTGGAGATTCACTTTTGAATAAATAGACTTCTCGTTTTTTAAAAGGAATTCATTGTTATTTTGTTTTGGATGAATGTGAATGATGCTGATTTTATCCAAATGATTTATGAGGCATGCTTGAATGTTTCAATTCATATTGTATTGATTTATCTGCCATCAATATGTTTGCACAGATTTGTGTTTTATCTTTGCACCATCCTTTCTGTTTACTACACATTGGACAAGTGATTAAACTTTGTAACGTCCCAAAAAGGTTTTTTCCATCTAGAATGCTTGCTCATTTCTCCATTTACTTATGAATTTACTGTGATATTGCCTGGTGCATCTTTTTCAAAGTATCACATTAGTCTATTATTGTAGTTTGATTATTATACTAACACACTGTTATGATGACTTTGTGACCAATAAGCTTGTGCTCTCTCTCTTTCTGTGTGTGTCTCCCTTTCTCTGTGTGCATGTGTGTCATTTTATTGTGTGAAATTTTCTTTTGTTTTTTTGAAGAAGTGGAAAGAAGGGGTGATACTATACGATAGTTCTTATGAAGGGGGGATAGTTATAATTAGTTATGAACTTAAATTCATATCTTCTTATAAAGAGAGCTTGGATTCACATCACAAGATTAGGGCCACCCAAATTAGGTTTATATAGTTGAAGAGCCTCTCCACTCATTAACAATTGGTTTTGAGCTGGACGTTCTAACATGATATTGGAGTTGGGACTTGGATGATCAGTGAGCTAAGTTTTTCACCAATTTGAATTTTTGGTATGTAAGTTTGTATATTTTTTGTTAGTTTATGTGGAAACCTGGATCTCATGTAAGGGAGGGTGTATAAAGAGCTTGTGCCTATATTTAAAGACTGGGCCCACCTGCCCAAGGTTAGCTTATATGGTTGAGAGGTGTTCTTGTTATTACTAATTGGATTTGAGTTAGATGCTTTAACACTTCTAATTTATATGGACATGTTTGTATTGCTAATTAAATAATTAAATTTTCAGGGTTAGGGATGCAGTTTATTCTGGAAGTAAATTATAATGGTTGTATGAAACCTTGCAATGGATGTGGAATATCCAAATAAACAATTGTATTGAATCATTGAAAAGCGTGCATTGGTCACTAACCGCTTTTTGTATTGACAGCATAGATGCCAAATTGTTTTCTAATGTTAATTAAAGAAGGATTTTTCAAAGCAATTAACAGAGGTATTATGGATTAATCCAAATCAGAATATGATAGGTGGAAATAGGAAAAGAACACAAGATGCTCAAAACCATTGGAGTTGGCTAGCAAATTGCCGAGTTTCTAAGTCTGCATATTTACAATCTATATAATAAAAAAGCTAGGCATATAAATTTTATCTCCACATATTTGTCCCGCCCATTTCTATCACATCATTCATTTTTATCACCAGTTGATCATTTAATTTTTGATTAATTTGTGGCTCAATACAATTTTTATTTCAAACATTGTTTATATGATAGTGTATACATGATATTTTTTTGAGGTCATGTATTTTGAGAAAGTTGTCGATTTTTGTTTTAAAAAATAATTGGTAGAAATTAATTTCAAATTATATAATCAAAGAAAAGGTTGGAAAGAATTGCTATTTGATATAATGAGATTGATTTTTTAGACACTCGGATTTTATGTTGCACCGTGTCTTTAGACACGGGTTATTACTAGTGATACAACAATGGAGCTACCTGTTGACAAAGATGTAGCATGTATATTCAAATTCATCGCCAGGCAGATGTGTATGTGCAGAGGCTGCATCTGTTTAATACGAGAACCTCTAGAGCATGGAAATTTTGTATGCTTGATGCTTTTTTTCTCATTCTTTTTTTTTTGGGTTAATTGTTTTGGCAGACCATAGTATTTGACAGTAAGGCCATAAGTGTATTCCATTGATATATGGAATTGCTTGTAAAGTGACATATATACATGCATAAAGTTACAGTCATAGTGCATGTGTCGAGGCTGCATCTGTATCATACAAGAACCATTAAAGCACAGAAACTGTTAATGTCTAACTGTTTTTTTCTCGTTTTTCCGGTTTAATTATTTTGGCACAATGTAGTAGTTGACAGGAATGCATACAAACATGATGTTTTCTTTCACTTGGGTGCTATATCAGGAGGAATGCTTACAAAGGCTACAAAGCCGTATTGATGTTGTATATGATGGTTCAATCCCTGAACATCAGGTACACTTCTTGGTTAGATATCTGTTAACCTTTAAGAGTAGTTGTGGTATAAGGTATTGATAGACTACTGTCTGGATTTCGAATTAGCGCTGTCATCTCATTAATATTTATAATTGCTCTATTATTATAGGAAGCTTTGAGGACATTGTGGAATGTTGCCTTTCCTGAAGAAGAACTTTGTGATTTAATATCTGAACAGTGGAAGGAAATGGGTTGGCAGGGAAAGGATCCATCCACAGATTTTAGGTAGCCTAGTATTTCCTCTATTTCCTTGAGTGAATTTTTTCTTGTGCTCAGATTTTCTTTCTTCTCTTTTATACTCAACATAAGGTTTTCTGTTGTAGGGGTGGTGGTTTTATATCACTCGAGAATTTGCTGTATTTTGCTACGAATTTTCCGGTATGTCTAATTCTCCACTATACTCTCTCTCAGTGTGTGTGTGTGTGTGTCTCTCTCTCTCCCTCCCTTCCCCCCCCCCCTTTCTCTATTCATTTACACACACACGCACATATCCCATGGCAAAGTGAATTTAGTTTGTCTTGGTATCAACTTTGATTTTTTATTACATTGGACGACCATGCTGGTCTTCCTGTACAAAATGGATAATAGTTATTCTGTGACGGCACTTAAATTCATTGTGTTTCCCTTTCCTTAGGGCCAGCAGCATGCTAGCTGACCATCAAGCATTGGTGGTAAATGCAAATATATGATTTGAGTGCTGCGCTTTAGAACTACGAGATAGCTTGATGATAACTGTGCATGGGATACCATCAAAGTAAGACTAATGGAATTTATTTGCTTGTCATAGTCAGGGGCATGTACGATTTAAGCCTGGTTGAGCCTCAATTCAGCATCATTTGTTTATGTATTAGGGCCGAAATTCTGTATTGATCAACTAGGAACTACGCTCTTTAGGGAGGGAAAATTATGATTAATTCGTCATAGGAAGTGAGAATTCATTCCACTGAATGAATAACGTTGCAGACGTGCAATGTTGAAACTCGTTAGTGTTTAATGCTCTTTATTATTAATACTCCACTAGATAAATACATTGATTAAAAACTAATACAGTAAAATGATAGTAGTGGGTAGAGTCAACCATACAGTTGACTGTTAATTCAAAGCATATTGGTTTATCAGCAAGGCTCTGGAAAACCTTTTAGCTATTAGGTATTTTCCTCTTTTGTGTTTCTTGTTGCTTTGGGCGGCCAAATCTTGCATCTGTCTTAATGTAATCTGTCATATCAAAGGAAGATATTATTCCTATGCCTAGCTCCTTCAAATTTCACTTTTTTGATACAGAGCTCTTATGCAAATACTTCTATGCCCTATTTGAAGTGAATAGTTGGAAACTAAGAGCAAATCATGTTAGGAGACTTGCATCAAAAAGATTATTTTCTCAGTTTTTCTATTCTCCTCTGCTTAAAATTTCTAATTAGCATAAAGATATCATTGGATGACTTTTTTTAATTAAGTGTTGCTGTTTTGTGTCATTTATAATTTGTGCACACACATTTGTGGGACCTTGTGTCTGGTTCCACAAATGCTGCATGCACTACTGTCCCCCCCCCCCCTAAATTGGGCGTATTTGTGAGTATGTGTTTCCCTTTTCCACCCTAATATTTGTTTTTTGGGAAATTAACTTTCTGAGACCCTGGTATTAATGTTTGTTCCTCCTAAATTGACCAAATAACTTTGCAGAAATCCTTCCAAGATCTTCTGCGAAAGGAGGAAGGTGATCGGTCCATCTGGGAATATCCATTTGCTGTTGCTGGTGTTAACATCACATTCATGCTTATTCAGATGCTTGATCTCGAAGCAGGTTTTATAATATTCAGGCCCTTTTCTTTCTTGATATGATGTTTGAGCAATCACTTTTAAACTACAACACCTGATATTTAAATTATTTAATTTTTAATTTTTCGTTCTCTGCCTACCAGTACGAAACTCTTTATTCTCTATGATTTGGTCTCTGTAGTTCTTGGTGTAACTTCCTTAAATCCCTTGTATCTATCATTGCTATTGCACCTACAGAACTTGATTAATAGCAGGCTTTTTGGACTTCCTAGTAGATTGTCATCTTCGTCAATTTAAAGAACAACTTAGATGAGTTTGTATAGTACACATCCTATGATATCAAATATCTCAACATAGTACATACAAACTGTTGTACATGGTGTGCCCACATTGAATTTTTTTGACTTTTTCTAAACATAAATGGTTGTAGGATCACAGGAACACATTTTATGCTTTTCATCAGCTAATTCTGAGCTTCAACTCTGCAGTAAAACCACGAACAATGGTAGGAGCGACCTTCTTGAAGTTTCTTGCAGGTACTATTTAGCAACAATTTGAGATCCATAACATTTTCATGTAAATGTGAATGAGTTATAGATTATTTATTAAAGTATAATATACAAACACAAATTGCCATAAGCTTACTAGATTTTTTTTAGTCCAAGTTTGTTTGTGGGTTCGACTGTATCATATGAGTTGAATCCTTAATGATGCCAATCACTTGTTCCATTTATTTGCGGACTCTCTTGGATTGTTTTATATACTTACGTTCTGAATAAAACTTCTCTTTTTGCCTGTCAGAAAATGAATCAGCATTTGACCTTCTATATTGCATCACATTCAAGCTGATGGACAAACAATGGCTTGCCATGCGCGCATCTTACATGGACTTCAATGTATGTATTCTTCCATCACAAGGATACTGTCAGAAAGAAATAGCTACAAATTTTGGATTACATCTATGAATGAATTTTGTTTTCTTTATTTTGCTGTTATCTTCATTGGCATTCAAAGAGATGTTAGAATTTTGCATTCTGCTTTTATACATGAGAACCCGTAGACACAGTAACCCTTAAATGTCAAAATTGTGATTGAATTGGGAATTGGTTATGGTATATGCTGATAATATGGGGGTTTGAATGTTGTTGAATCGCCACTAAAAATGATCATCCCTATTTTTCAAATGATTCGGATTTTTTGTTTCGAATGTTCACCTTCTAATAAGATTTGTCATATTGACTTGCAAATCCCATTATACTCTCAATTGCATTCATTTGCCTAAGTTGGCTTCTTCATTTTTTGTTTTTTGATTTCGATGTCTTATTTTGGAATTTCCTGCAGACGGTGATGAAATCTACTCGTCGTCAACTGGAAAGGGAGCTTCTGCAAGAAGATGTAATACGGCTTGAAGATTTGCCATCATACAGCCTTCTTAGTCGGTAATATAGTACTAGTAACAATTAGCAGAAGATCGGCTTCCATAAGCATGATTCAGGTTGTCAACAACGTATGCATTGTCTCTCTCTCTCTCTCTCTCTCTCTCTCTCTCTCTCTCTCTCTCTCTCCTTTTTAGTTCTACAGATACTTCTGATTTCTTGGTGTTTGTTCGTCCATGATATGATGGTTTCCGACATAACCTTGTCAGAAATCTTGGAAATCTTGCAGCCATGTTTTCGATTGTGATTTGATTTCGAAAAGAAAAAGAAAGAGGGTTGAGTTCTTTGACTTTGTAATGTGAAAATGGGGACCTACTGTGGATTTGTTGAGGTTTGAAAGAACAAAGTGTTTCTTGGTAGTTCCTTGGGCTAGATGACAAGTGATTTATCCTTCAAGAATATTCTAATCCCGACATGGATGACTAGTTTTTAATCAGGCTGGAGAGTGGATTAGTAGATGTACACGTAAATTGATCTAAACATTTCTAACCGTTGAACCAAAAAAAATTTTTTTTGCATGATCTCAGCTCTGCCGGTAGGTTAAATTTGTCACTTGATGGCAAGAGTGTACATATTTTGTCCTCTTATTTGAACTAGTCGGAATGGTAAAATTTATAGAAGGCAAAAAGACAAACCATTCTAACCTATCGGAATTATGGAAGGTAGTTATTTAGTTTCTCGCATTACAAAAATACTATCTTCTATAAATTACGTAGTTTGTTCTCTTGAACATTTCTTTTATGAATAAATTTCGGGAAGCCATAATACGTGTCTTGTACTGTATTGAGCACCTAAAATGTTTATAAATGAAGCCATTTTACCGATATAAACAAATTAAAAAAAAGAAGTTTAAAAGAAAAAGAAAGTGGCACAAGTAATAAGTTTCCCAAAGAAAAAGCAAAGAATCATTGCCCTTTCTTTTATGTCCTTTACACCTACTTGATTCTCACAAAACTCCCATGGACTGTGGTCGCATAGTTTTCGCCATAATTGGCTTCTCTGCATCTTTCTTCCTATATTTTCCAAGCTTCAAGAGAAGACTCCAAAGCAAACAAATTATCACAACACATAAATTGAAGATCATAAATGAAGCCTTGGAAATTGCTGAAGAAAGAGTCGTGAGGTATGAAGAGAGGCACGATCGCATTCTTAGTCAAATCTCATCGTTCTACCTTGTGAATCAGGAACTGCAAGATGCGTTGTTTGGCGCTCGAGAAGCCATGAATGAAGCTTTAGAGTTTGTTGTTGGTCTAAGAAGATTGAAGATGGAGATCATAAGCTCATATCCAGGTGAAGTTGATGTTTCCATGTTGGATAGGTTCCTTGGAAAGCACAAGCAGGACAAGGAATAATTAAGAGGCTTGGCCATGAAGTAAAAAGGAATCACTAGACATATGTTTTCAGGAAGAGTTATGATCCTTTCAATGTGAAAAATTTAGTCTCGAGTGGTAAAGAATTGCACTGTATAGAGTAACTGCTGCTTCTTCTTCTTGCTTTTTTTTTTATTTTTTATTTTTTAGGTTTTTAATTATTTAATAACTAAGAATCTCTCTAAGGTAAAGTCACATTGAACACATCCATGCAATGTACACAACAGATATTTGCAATCACCCATGAGTCATATTGCGTTTGACCTTCTCTTTGCATGACTTAGTATAACAATATGGAATTTCTTCAACGTGTTGACCCTTTTCGTGCTTATCCATCAAACAATTGATTTGGACAACCTTCCATCTACAAAATTCTCGGTGATCTTAATAGAAAGAAAAAAACTTTAAAAGCTAAGCGGGGTAAAATATTGTAATGATATGCTAATTATGGATATTATGTCACTTTAGTTCGTATTCTTCCAATTTTCTCACATCCGTTTTTAAGTTTCTAGATGTAACTTTGGTTTAATAGAAAATAATAGTTTAAAATAAGCAACGAAAGTGGTTGGATAGTTAGTACGAGTGGACTAAGATAACATGAATTAAAAACTTGATGGCTTAAAGTAATAAGGTAAATTATAATTGGTCTATAAATTTTATTTTTAGTTTTACTTTGGGATTTGAATTTTTGAGATTCTCTCAATTAAATCCTTCTGTCTATCTCCACTATTAGATTAATGTTAAAATGTTTCAAATTAAACTAGTTTCTAGTTGATATAATAGTGAAAATTGAAGGAGAAATTTAATTAAAACAAAAATTTATAGTTAAAAGATTAAATTGGGACAATTGAAAATTGAGACACTAATAGTTGTTTAACTATATTTAATCATATTTAAAATCCAAGAGTTGTGCAGTCTCTGAAAAATCGAAAATTTATGAACATCCAAAAAGTAAAAAAGGGTTTAAAAAAAAAAGGACAGAAGAAAAATTTGGGGGTTCTTTTAGAATAAGAATTATGGAAGGGGATCTTTTAGTAATTTTGTAGCCTACAAAATATCCTCCACCTAGACTTATCCAAAAAAATACATCGAACCAGAACCCTGCCCTGTGGCCCGTATTGGCCACCGGTCCCTTTCGGAACCGCTTTTGAAACGTTGATTCCAAAGAATTCTCAAAACCCAGAACCCAGAATCAAGAAGATGTTACTCCAACCCATCACCACCTCAAAGACTCCTCTTCACCACCACAGCCACCACCATGTTTCTCTCTCTTACTCCCTCTCATTCCGTTCTGGGTTATCCAGTTCTTCACTTATTCGGCCCATCACAAGCCAAAGAAATCCGGGTATTACATGTTCTATATCACAGGCTTATAGCTATGGAACACTTGATTATGAGAGGAGGCCAGTAATGAAATGGAACACTGTGTACAAGAGAATATCTATGATGCAGAACCCAGAAATGGGTCCGGCGGGTGTGTTGAATCAGTGTGAGAATGAGGGCAAGAAGTTAACGAAATGGGAGCTTTCTAGGGTTGTTAAGGAGTTGAGGAAGTTCAGGCGTTTCAAGCTTGCTCTTGAGGTATATACATAAACATCGATTGTTTTTTTGTTGTCTTGGTTGTGTTTTGATTAATGGATATGTGGTATTTTGCTGTGGATTCTGTTGAATTGGTGGATTGTAATTGATAATTTTCTGAAATCTATGTGCATTTGGCTGTGATTGGGACAATTTTGATCTTGAAGTGAAACCCAATTTTTGTGCTAATTTGATCTTTTTCCGGAAGTTCTGACATTACAGGCTTGTTCTGGAGAAATAAATCATTATATTGAATTGTTTATTTGCTTTCATTGATGAGTGCCTGGCCATAGTTGTGAGTTTTGTTTGAATGGGTTCACTACTTGGTAATGTACTAGACTTCGTTTGGATTGATAGGGTTCTGAGCTTATGTCATTGGATTTTGTTTGTGACTTTCCCGCTATTGAAGAAAATTATACTGGTACTCTCCTGCTCGTGAAACCTAAAATTTGATTCTTGGGTTTCAGGTAACTGATTCAGGGTTTATATGTTCATTCTTGACAGTTATTGAGTTTTTTGTTTGCTCTTGTGGTTATTCTCTTATTCATGCGTTTCAGTAATCCCTTGTACTTTATTTTTAAAAAAAAAATGATGCGGTCATAGGATTATGAATTCTAGCATACCTTACTAGGAGTGTTGTTTGGTGGATTCTTGCATTGCATCATGAACTAATGAATTTCAAAGATTTAACACTGGTTATGACCTCGTCGACTAGGTGGATTAGTTTCATTAGCACATGTGCACATAATGAATTTGGAATGGCTTCACCTCCAAGAATATGGTTGTATGTCTTGATTATGGTTCTATGCAGAGACGACCCAAGTAATTAGGCCAAATAATTAAAAAGACCAAAAGCCTGGGATGTCTTTAGTTGGAAAGGTGGTTTAATATTATAACCCAGTTTGTTCTTTGTTAAGGTATTAGGAGAGGTGGATGGGGTAAATGCATATCCTTTTGCATTATTTGAACAACGTGACTGCCCTTATATTCTATCCCATACCCAATTGCTTGTCGGAACATTAAGCCATAGCACTATGTAATTACGTACCCCTTTGTAAAGTTGGAGCCATGCTGAAATTTATCCATTTTCAACTTCGGAACCACCAGCGAAGGTAACATTCAGATTCTTTTCTTTCTTGTTCATGTGTCTGACATTTCTTAGAATTCCAGTGACATAAGATCAATATAATTGGGAAGTTTCTTTATGACATTCGGATTGGCTCATGAAGAACCAAAGAAATTCCTAGGAAAAATTACAATTAGGACATACTTTCAACTATGAAGCATGGATATTTCGTAAATCTCAACGTATCCATATCAGATACCTGTCAGGTACAATACTCATCAGATACTCGAAAATACGTATCAGATAAACACCAAATGTATCCAATAATAAATAAAATATACGGACACTTTACGAATATTTTTATATGCGAAGAAGTATGTGTAATTTTAGTTTTAATCTCTACCATTTCCATTTGATTTCACGTACAATACAATACATCAACAAAAATTCATATGATTTTGAAGACACATGAGAGTTTTCTAAGTATTATACATTATCACATGTTCAAATAGTATAAATGAGTTAATTACTCTATAGTCTTAATAACAAATACTTCTAAGCAAACAATTTAGTTAAATGTTAGTTCTTATTTCTTTAATTAATCACGTTCACTCTGTAGATGTACTATAATAAGACGATCGGTAACATTTAAAAATAAAAATTATTGATGTTGTTTATTATTGTTAAAGAATTACTAAAAATTATAGCTATCAACTCATTATATAATAGTATAAATATAAAATATATATATTTATAGACGCATCTTGACTGTACCCATATCCTATTTTTTTGGAATTTGGTCGTATCGTCGTATCCGTATCGTACCCATATCTTGTATACGTATCCGTGGTTCCTTAACTTTCAGCTATTTGAGAAGATGAAAACTATTTTCGCCTTATCCCTTAAAACAGAGAAAAGAACTATCTCCCTTGTTCCTGTAGCCACCAATAGCATACTGACTGAAGCCATTTAGTTAACCTATTGCGACATACATAGGTTTTTTAAGGGTGAGGGTTTTATGTGTGTTTTGCTTTATGCCCATTTTTTAAAACTTTATAAACTCGTTGGAGTCCATATCAAGGTCTTATCCCTAAGTTGATTGGTTTATGCATAATATTTAGTATTAGGTTTAAAAATTGGGGCATGATGAGTGAATGTGATTGGTGCCAAACTGCCAATTCTGGTCAGAGAAATACTACTACGAGAATTTTGCGGCAAGCCTTGTAACTTCTTGACATAAAATGAATTGTAGTAAAAAGTCACATGGCCTTAAAAAAGATTACTGCTTGTGACCATCTTGTCAAGGAACCTCCATCTAAGAATACAGAGCAACACCAAAAGTAGATTCCCTCAATTTACAACATGATTATGTGGGTTGAGACATATACCCTAAAGGATGCTTTATATACAGAAAGCAGTATTTGTCCCTTTTATGGAATCATTTCTAAAAGTGATTTTTTTTTCTTTTTTGTAGATACCTTGCCCCCTGAATCATTTTATAAGTTTCTTTGCATTCAAAAAATATGGGGACAAACTTGCATTGATTGTGATAGCTCAAACAAAAATGTGCGGTGGAAATGGTTTTCTGATGTAATCCAGGAGTTAAATGCTTCTATTGTAAATAGATTCGAACCCTTTGTTTTATCTGTTTCTTAGCTTTGGAAGATAAGAGGTGCAAATGTGAATTTGTTATGCAATTTAGAACCTCTTAATAAAAGGAGGGCTCAAACATAAAGCTATTTTCTAACTAGTATGCTTCTGAAACTTATTATATGCTATGGCTGTTGGAGCACGAAATAATTCTTGTAGTTGGGTGCTTAGAAAGTTGTTGTGTTGGTTCTATATTCTTTCTTGTAATTGCTGTAAAACTGGAATTGGTGGATGAGCTTAAAATCTTTAAGCTGTGGTATTTTCTATCATTCATCATGCAATTCCAGGTGAGCAGCAATGAACTTTTCACACATTCTGCAGGTGTACGAGTGGATGAACAACAGAGGGGAGAGGTTTAAAATATCCACTAGTGACGCTGCAATTCAGTTAGATCTAATTGCCAAAGTGCATGGAATTTCAAGTGCTGAAGATTACTTCATGAAGTTGCCAGGTGCCTTAAAGGACAAACGGACATATGGGTCTCTTTTGAATGCATATGTGCGCGCCAGAATGAGAGACAAGGCTGAATATTTAATTGATCAAATGAGAAATAGAGATTATGCCAGCCATGCCCTTCCGTTCAATGTGATGATGACTCTCTACATGAACCTAAAAGATTATGATAAAGTTGACACAATGGTTCAGGAGATGATGGAGAAAAATATACCATTAGACATATATACCTACAACATCTGGTTATCATCCCGTGGATCCCAAGGATCTGCAGAAGAGATGGAACAAGTTTTCGAACAGATGAAGCTGGACAGGACCATTAACCCCAACTGGACTACATTCAGCACAATGGCCACAATATACATTAAGCATGGGCAACTAGAAAAAGCCAAAGACTGTTTAAAGAACATTGAGAGCAGAATCACTGGTCGGGATCGAATGCCTTATCATTATCTTATTAGTCATTATGGTACTATTGGTAACAAGGGGGAGGTTAACCGGATGTGGAACCTTTACAAATCAACTTTTCCCTATGTTCCAAATTTGGGATACCATGCTGTGATCTCTTCTTTCATTAGGCTGGGTGATATTGAAGTGGCAGAAAAGATTTATGAGGAATGGCTGTCAATTAAGAATGCATATGACCCTAGAATAGGAAATCTACTGTTGGGTTTGTATGTTAGGAATGGATTTTTGGAGAAAGCTGAGGCCTTCTTTAACCAAATGGTTGAAGTGGGAGGAAAACCGAATTCAAGCACATGGGAGATTTTGTCAGAAAGCCGTATCAGAGAGGGTATGATTTCTGAGGCTTTGTCTTGCTTAAAAAAGGCCATTTCAGCGGAGGGACCAAAGAACTGGAGACCAAAGCCTGTAAATGTGTCTTCCATTCTCAAGCTCTGCGAGCAAGATGCTGATATGGTGAGTAAGGAGGATTTGTTTGGGCTGTTGAGACAACTGGGCTGCCTTGAAGATGAAGCTTATATGTCATGTATCCCCGGGTCTAATGGGATGGCCACTGGCAATCAACTGCCAATGGAAAAAGGTAGAACTGATGATGACGATGGTGATAATGATGATGAGGATGCTAAAATGCTCCTCAACCAACTGCAAGGAAGCTTGTGAGGACTTGCTTCTTTCCACATGCCAAGTATCTAACAAAATGAGCACAATGCATGGGGAGCTCTTTGCCTGAGTGGGAGTTTTACTTCTCAAATGACTTCTCGTCATTTTCTTGAGGTAAATTATCGACTGCTATAGTTTCTGTGGCTCCAAATGATCGTCAGGGGAATGAAATCTGGATTCTCGTTGTGGTCACATCTTTCTGCGACTTGTGCTCAATGAAGCTTGTATTTTATTTCCTCGTGTGAATGAACCCATATCGCCTGTTCTTTGGCTTATGCGAATTTTTTATACCATCTTCATTGCTTATGGGCCAACTCCAACCCACAGAAGCTCATGTGTTATAGGTTTACTCACAGAACCGCATGATTTATCATTAGTGATACGTTCAAATCTGCGGTGGCTTCCCTTACAATATTTTTCAACTTACTATCAACGGATTATCTCTAGTTGAATTATGAAGGCAGAAGCCCCGGTTGCTTCTGAATTACACTTCATTCATCATTTTAAATTTTAATGCACTCTTTTTTTTTTTTGTTGCATTGCATCCAACTTCCTCAAGTTCAATGCTTGTCTTGTCCTCACGCCTTACTTCTTATTTATCTAACAGTGTCAGCCCTTGTTGATACATTGTGTACACTGTTTTTGGTTCTTACTTCTTAGGTGTTCTTGTATGGGTTTCTACCCCATCCATAGAATTACATGATAATAGACTTGTTATGATTCGCAGCACCCCTGTTGGGCAGGTACAGATGCAGCAATTAAATTCGACATCGGGACGCCTTTGACCTGTAGAGATGGTGATATGACATGATTTCATTGTTTATGCCTGGAACTTTAGGTTCATTAATCTTTCCTGGTAGGGGTCTACCGGTACTTAAAATCTTGTACTTAGGCTAGGATATAAGAGGACCAAGATGAAGCCATATGGGTTGGTTGTTCTGGTTTTCATTTCCTTCTGTTTTTTACTACTATTATATGCATGTCTATGTATTACTGTGACCCGCATAGTAAACCTGGTTAAAAACTCCAATATAGTCCAACCCAAATCAAATTTAGTAGTAATGCTCGTGGATTTAGGAATTACCTGCTGTCTTTTTGCATTAGTTAAAGTTTGAAAAATGACTATCTTTCATAAGTTTTATTATCAATATTGTCAACAATGTCAAATATTTGCTCTTTTCTTTCCGTATTAAATCAATACACAATAACTAATAACACTAAAGCATCCATCGCTTCAATAATATATATTTCTGAATTTGATTTTCTTAGTCATTCCCCTCATCGAATAGAGGTAGTGACACCCAAATGCCTCACGAAATAAACAGGCGAAAACGGACCCAATATCAAATCACCATACATGCATCCTTGCAAATTTCCCCACATGATTAAAAGGGGCATAGAAAGGAGTTGGGCCAAACAGTCGATCTTAAAACGAAGCTTCCTTGATGGCATTCTCAGTCATTTCCTGAGCAAAGCAATCATTAGTCGGTACACAAAAAAAATCTGTAGTAGCTAAATCATGAGGAATATAGAACATACCCATGATCAATTCCGTAAAACCGATCTCTTTAAGCTCAGACATGTAGACCATTTGAGTGTGTAGTTCAAACATATGCTCCAGGAAGCAGTAAACAGGCACTTTAGACATGATTCTCCTGGACAATGCCTTTTCTGATCCCTTTCTGAATGACCAAGCC